AAAATTAAACTATATCAATCTCTTCCTCTCTCTATTCTCTCTCTCTCTCTCTCTCTTCCGGTCTCACCCTCTTTCTATCCCCTTCTTTCCCCCTTTCCCTCTCTTCTCTCTATCACTTCTCCCCCTCTCCCTCTCTCTTCTCTATCCCCTCTCTTCCCCTTTCCCTCTCTTCTCTCTATCACTTCTCATCCCCTCTCTCCCCCTTTCTCTCCTCTCCTCTCTTCTATTCTCTCTCCCCCTTTCTCTCTCTCTCTTCTCTATCCCCTTTACCCCTTTCTCTCTTTTCCTATCTATCCCTTCTCATCCTCTCTCCCCCTTTGTCTCTATCCCTTCTCCCACTCTCTTGTCTCCTCTCTATCCCTTCTCGCACTTTCTCTCTCTCTCTCCCCCTCTCTCTCTTCTCCTCTCTATTCCTTCTCATCTCTCTCTCCCCTCCCTCTCACCCAGTCAGTTTGTTATAGTTGGTATATATAAAAATAATAAACAAGAGAGATGTGTATGTGGGTTTATTAACAGAACAAATTTCTACCAATTATTGTCATTGTTTGACATTTATACCACATTAAACCGCTGTCCAGGAGGCCACGACATGTTTTACACCCTAGACAAATACCACATCAAATACTTCAATATCTGACAGATCCTTACAATCAATAACAGTAGTTATAATAATATTAATATTTCACGATCTTAGGGTCCACAGGTCAACTTTTAAACAACAGAAGGTTGATTTATTTGTTCCACAGGCCAAGTTAATTGAATTCATAGTGCTGCAATGTCTTTATAAGTAAATAGCCCCTTGATGCTTGTCAACTTTTGGTTTCTAAATTAGTTGGGTTTTTTCACAAAGCTAAATCTGTAAAGTAACGGTTTCATTTTTTTGCCACCATTAAGGATGCATTAACTTCTATATGATTTTTTGGGCAAGGTAAAGACATAATTGCTCATGTGTTTTCAAAATCTATCATAAAGTAATATCTAAAAGTTTTTGTAATTTCTAAATCTTGAATTGGGGAACAAATTTTGTATTTCTTGTTTTAAAATAAAACATCCAACCATTCCCAGGAGCTGGGTTGGATGGCTGAGTGGTTAGCACGTGCGTGCTGTAACATAAGGCCTGTCATTGAGTCAACTGGCGTGGTTTCGAATCCCTGGTTGTATGTGACAAGGAGTAGGGTCGCCTGTCCAACCTCGTGGGTTTTCTCTGGGTCCTGCGGTTTCCTCCCACTGCTAAAGACCCCTACATGCAAGCGAATTATTGAAATAAAATTAAAAACCATATGTTAGTCCCGAAATGACCTAGTTTGTGTCGAGTGGACATTAAACCCCATTTATATCTATCTATCTATCATTCCCAGGAATCAATCTACCTTAAAAAATAAACATCCAACCATTCCCAGGAATCATTCTACCTACGCTTTTATAAAATATAGCCAATGCCAGAACTAATCATATGAATATTTCATGACCAAAAATCATTCGTCAACAGATGGGTAAATAATAAATGAAAGAAGCCATAGATACTTTGTTTTAATTGTCTTGGTTTTAACTTCTATGAGAATGTAACAGAAGAGGTGAGGTGACTTGATTCCAAGAAAGTCAAAGAGATTATTTTATATAGTTACAAGTTTATTTGTTTGTTTGGACTACGAAACCATTGTTGCGATAAATCATTTGTCAATTCCAAGAAGGTCAAAGACATTTTTACACAATTAGAAGTTTGTTTCATCTTTTGGACAACGAGAGCACTGTTGCGGTAAATCATTAGCCCACTATATAATCAGACCAAAAAGTTAATATTTAATGACCTTAGGTCATCGATCGAGGCCAAGGAGTGGAACTATAAATTTATACTTGAAAGAAACCCAAGTTTCTTTTTGTTTCATTGTATATCCGACTTAACGAACATGTCTATTCAGCATCTCACAAGAAAATCGGAAATTGGATATCCGACTCATTTCTATTGACCATCTCACAAGAAAATGGGAAAGCTGGTAGTTTCAGGTGTCTCTCAAACTATTTATCACTAACTGGTTGTAATTGTTATTGATGTATTGTAAAGTATGTAGGTAGCCAATTATTAACAAGTTCATTAAACCAATAAACCGTCTTCATTAGTCCAATCAGTGTAGATTGGCACTAACACCAAGATTCATGTAGCCATGCAGGGTGTCTATCAAACCATTTATCACTGACCAACATGGACGTTAACTTTATCAATATTATTGACCGGTTAATTAAACCAATATAAGAAATAAATATAGTCTAACCATTAATATCAATGAAAGGAAATTCAATGGGATTCTGTTCTGACTGAGATAATGAGGGAAATTTTGCCTGGACAGTGGGGCTACGGCATACTCTTATATCAAATTCCAACTGCCAAGGGTTCTTTTACGGACTACTCTTATATGGAATTCCAACTGCCAAGGGTTCTGTAACGTGCACGCCAATGTGTACATGGGACCTCAGTGTTTCCTCTCATCCAAACGACTAGACGTTGTCCCTTTCCAGGATATCTTTATGATGAACTTTCTATGCCAACATCGGAATCGAACATGGGGCCTCCAGGTTAGAGAGTCACATTAATATCAATATCTCTAGTAGATTTCTATTACTATAAACATCTTTCCTTTAATTTACCTAGGGGGGTTGGATGGCCGAATGGTTAGCATGTTCACGCTGTATCATAAGGTCTGTCATTGAGTCAACTGGCATGGTTTCGATTCCCAAATTGTACGTGGAAAGAAGTAGGGTTGCCTGTCCAACCTTGTGGGTTTTCTCCGGGTCATTTGGTTTCCTCACACTGCTGAAGACGCCTACATGCAAGCGAATTATTGAAATAAAATTAAACCATATGTTAGTCCCAAAATAACCTAGTTTGTGTCGAGTGGACGTTAAACCTCATTTCTCTCTTTCTCTCTCTTTAATTTACGTCATGAGTTTTATGAAACACAGTGACATTATTATCAGGTGTAAATATTGATTATCATAAAGATACAAGTGACAAGAGATAACGTCCACGACAGTAAGAAGATGAGATTAAGACATTCCACACATACCTCACCTTATTGTTACCTGTATATATTGATTACACTGTATCAATATATATACCTATCACTAGAGGCAGGTAACTATTTATCAATATACACTTTACTATCTAATTTAGTCTAATATAAAACATACAATCCTATTTTGCTGATAGCCCATACGATAAAATACAAGGGTATTTTACCAAGAGTGAGAGAGAGAGAGAGAGAGAGAGAGGGAGGTTTCAGTCAACTTGACACCAACTAGGTCATTTCGGGACTAACATGTGGTTCATTTTATTTCATTAATTTGCTTGCACATAGGGGTCTTTAGCAGTGGGAGGAAACCGGTGGACCCAGAGAAAACCCATGAGGTTGGACAGGCGACCCTATTCCTTGTCACGTACAAACATGTTATACTTTTCTCCATCAACGATGACCTCACCAGCTGGGAAAACAAGAGATACAAAAAATCTTTGGTCAAAAATGTTCTGGAACCTGGCTTCGAATCCAATGCAATAATCGTCTCAGGAGATATACTCAAACGGTATAGGGAATCTTTGGGAATGATTTATCCTCGGTTCCCACTATCACGATTCGTGATACGACTGAACGTGGTAGGGTAATGGTAGTGATCCTATCATGTCTTAACATATATTGAGGTTAGTCGTGTTGGTCGTATCGAAGCTTATCCGAATGTATCCACACGTACCAGATCATAGACTCAATAGGCACTATCTAATCGTAACGCATCGCACTACAGTGGAAACCTAGCATTAACAATCATAATTGATATAAACAATAAATATGATCAATCGTTGGGCTAGAAGAATGAATTACTTTCTAACTCCCGCCTTTATCACATGTCAAGTGATTTACACTCGTGACATTAATACAATAATTTCCCTCTTTACTTTGAAACGAGGGATATTTTGTATATTTTAATTATAATAATTTGTTCAAGGAAATACTTGGGCAAACTTTCTCTCTCCGCACACTGCATTGCATTTGCAGTGTAGAAAAATGGGTTGTTAAACCTCATGTAATTTTTCTGTAATTGTCCGTCAAATTTCAGTTCTACATTATTTAAAAAAGCAAAAATATATTTTTAATCTGTATTAGTCTTACAAAAAGAAGAAATAATTGAACAAAGGTTAACCATCACTTGAAATTTTGTTTAATTTATTAAAAAGTACAGTAAACTTCACATAAGTCTGATCTAAATGGACTGACCAATTTTATCCGAGTTAAGTGAAGATCCGAGTTATTCGAAGACCGAAATTCCATCTTAGCTCGATTAGAACTAAACTGCAAGAGCCAGATAATAATTGATTCAAAGTCACATTTCAAGCTTCTATTCGTATGTGCGAGTAGATAACTTCCGGTTTGTCGCCATCTTTGAAAAATGTCCTAAATTTTCCCAGAAATATTCTATACAAAATGATAGAGGAAAGTATTTTGGAACTCTGTGCGTGGAATACTGTATCTAACCGCGATTTAGACCATCGGGACGAAACAGTCAAATTCTGAACATACTGCCGATCTGACTTAGGCGAAGGAAAAAAAACAGAATTAGATCAAATGGATCGAACATTTTGAGTTAAGCAAAGATCCGACTTAGGAAATCTTACACATCGAAATTTAATAATAAAAACGTGCCGTATCAAAGGGTCCAAACGATTTTATCCGAGTTGAGCAAAGTTCTGACTTATACGAATCTGACTTATGCGAGTTTTACTGTATACTACATGTACAAGGGTTGGTGGGGACCCTTCCAAGACTAAATCTTATCATTATTTAATCCGGAGCAAAAGTTCTTAATCTGTGAATGGCATCTTGGACAGCTACCCACTTCTATATGGATTTCCAATTTAATTTATTTAAACTTTTACATGTATGTGTTTGACCAGGCGGACCGGGCGGACAATAAAATCATAACATCAAACTATAACTAAAGAGAAGATGACTCACCAAACCTGCTATTTGGGCTGCTTGTCGATTGATTCGTTTAACTGATCCATTCTTAATACTATTCAATAATCTGAAAAGAATGAAGTCATGTGAATCAACAGAAGGAGATGATAATTGATAAATACGTTAATAATAGCCACTTAAGGACATTCCACGACGAAATATTATCACAGGCCAACAATAACTCAACTATTCAACAAATACATGTACATATTATAACTTAAAGAGGCAGTCTGTGATATCGCCCTGGGTGGAAGCAGACTGTTCAACCCAACAAGAGGCAGTCTGTGATATCACCCTGGATGGAAGCAGACTGTTCAACCCAACAAGAGGCAGTCTGTGAGATCACCCCCCGGTGGAAGCAGACTGTTAAACCCAACAAGAAGAGACAGTCTCACAGTAAGTTCGACGAGGGGCAGTCTCTCACCCTGGATGGAAGCAGGCATTAAACCCAACAAGAAGAGGCAGTTTATCATCTTGATGGGTGGAAGCAGACGGTAATCACAACAAGAGTAAGTTTTTCATCTTGCTGACCATCCACCAAGTTTTAAAATATTGTCTTCTTATTTGATTTGAAATGAAATGAAAGGAACTATCCAGGATAATGAGGATGAACATAGAGGCAGTTTAATCTTTCCACACTTCACCTAATTGCAAGAATATTTTCTAAAATCAGATATATAAAATTGTTCACATCAAATTTTCTAGAATGTGAGAATGCCACTTTAACCAATAAACCAGTCACGCAATTTAATTAAAATTCAAAGCATTTTGCAAAATCATAAAAGCATGTATAATTAGAGGTTGGCTGTAAAATTTGTATTGAGGGAATCTGTGTGATAGTGTTACACAGGTGGCTTAGTTTATTCTCATATATTATGACATCTATAAAGAAGAATTAAAACACTTCTAAATATTTGACAAACATCATAAACTGATCCATTTCTCACCAAGATTAAATAGCGGAGGTTTTAAACATAATATTAACATATTTAAAGGTGCATTACCTTTTTTTTAACATTAAATAGCCAGGGTTATAATCATCGAATTAACATATTTAAAGGGGACTACCTTTTTAAAGATTTAACAAGCCAACAGTGAGGCTGATGTCCCCCGCCGAAATCCTCAAATAAATAGATGACACATATTAATTAATCGCACATTTACTTTTTTCAAATGTATCAAGCAATCAAACTATACACTAAGTTTCATCACTCTCTATCAGATAGAATCAAAGTTATCTTGTCCCAAAGCATCGACTAAGGAAATTGCACATCTCTGCTTAGCTTTAGCTCGATATGTTAATCATTGAACTCAATCAAGACGAACATCTACATCAAGTTTAAACATACTAACTCAATTAGAAGCAGAGTTGTTTAACCAAAGTCTTGACCAATCAAAATGCTTATTGCTCCTTAGCCTAAGCAGAAAATTTTCATCATCAAACTTAGTCATGGTATTGATGTAATGAAACTATACACCAAGTTTCATCACTCTCACTTAATTAGAACTAAAGTTATCGTGTCCCAAAGCATCAACCAATCAAATTGCTTATCTCTGCTTACCCTAAGCAGAAAATGCCCATCTTCGTAATCCATCAAGGCAGTGACCTCATAAACACCTACACCAAGTTTGTACATTCTAGCTCAATTAGAAGTAGAGTTATTGTGTGCCAAAGTCTCGGCCAATCAAATTGCTTATCGCTCTGCTGACACGGAGCAGAAATTGCTCATCATCGAACTTAGTCAAGGTATTGATGTAATGAAACTATACACCAAGTTTTATCACTCTCAGTTAATTGGAACTAAAGTTATCTTGTCCCAAAGCATCAACCAATCAAATTGCTTATCTCTACTTACCCTAAGCAGAAAATGCTCATCTTCACACTCCATCAAGACATTGACCTAATAAACACTTACACCAAGTTTGAAGATTCTAGCTCAATTAGAAGGAGAGTTGTTGTGTTCCAAAGTCTCAGCCAATCAAATTGCTTATCGCTCTGCTTACCCTGAGCAGAAAATGCTCATTATCGAACTTAGTCAAGGTATTGATGTATTGAAACTATACACCAAGTTTCATCACTCTCACTTAATTAGAACTAAAGTTATCGTGTCCCAAAGCATCAACCAATCAAATTGCTTATCTCTGCTTACCCTAAGCAGAAAATGCTCATCTTCGAACTCCATCAAGGCATTAAGAAGGAGAGTTATCGTGTCCCAAAAAGTGTGACGGACAGACAGACGGATTTAAAAATAGTGGAGGTTATATTTTAACATATTTAAAGGTGCATTACCTTTTTTTAAGATTAAATAGCCAGGGTTATAATCATCGAAGTAACATATTTAAAGGTGTACTAGCTCTAAGGTTAAAACATTGTATTAGCTTATTCAAAGAGGCACTACCTTATTAAAGATTACTTACAGTAGCTAAGTGTCTAACTCAAAATCATCCAAAGTCTTAGAAATTGAAATCTCAAATTATTTGTCAGTTTAAATCAACATTGATGTTGTGATTTTACCGGAAAAAGATGGGCTTCTGATATCCAATATTTAAGACAAAAGACAAGACAAAATCGAGTACCATAATGCATTTCAGCACTATTTGTAACAAGGGACTCGAAGAACGCAGTTAAACATATTTCACAAATCATGTCAAACGGTGACGCCATTATCTTACTATCGGTGTAGACTGGAATAACAAGACACTAGAGATTGCAATTCGATTGAGACTTCTGGCGTATATCGCCAAACATACATGTAACTGATTAAAAATTAGAGTAAAAATGGAAACGACTGAATGTAAATCAGTTTATACATCCATATGTACATGTATATATGTTGTGACCCATTTGTGTCAATTTCTAGGTCCCAAATATTAGGGATTTAGCTCCTTTAAATACATGTAGCAGAGGTTAAAACATTGTACATGTATTAACTTATCCAAAGATGCATTACCTTTTTAACATAAAGGGGCACTACCTTTCAAATGTCAAATAGATTTAATATTGAGCATGCTTTTGGATGGATTTGGTGCTCTACAAATGCACATTATTATTATTTATTTATTATTAGGGGTTATAAAAGATTGTATTAACATATTTAAAGGGGAACTCCTTTTTAACATATTCAAAGGTGAACTACCTTTTTTTTAAGATTAAATATCGGAGGTTAAAACATGGTTTAAACTTATTTAAAATGTACTGCCTTTTGTAAGATTAAATAGTGGAGGTTATAAAATATTGTATTAATCTTTTTTTAGATTAAATAATGGAGGTTATAAAACACCATATTAACTATTTAAAGGTGTACTACACTACCTTTAAATATCCGAGGCTAAATCATTGTATTAACTTATTTAAAGATGTTATACATGTAACTTTTCTGTTGATAATAATTTTAAACTTCACTAGGTACATTTTGTTGTATTATTAAAGAACAAGCCTGTAAATATCTAGTTAAAATAACATGGTGTCACAGATCCAATAACTGAATAGAGAGAGACAGTGAGAGATGGGAGAGGAGAGGTTGTTTAATTCTATCTTAATAATTTACTTGCTTATCAGTAGTCTAATGTGTGCTATTTAGATCATAAGGTCTGTCACCGAATCAAGTGGCGTGATCCCATGCTTGTATGCAACAAGGAGTAGGGGGAGGGGGTTTCCTTCTCGACCTTGTAGGTTTTTCTCCACTGTCCTCCCACTGCCAACTACTTCTTCAGCCCAAGAGAATTATTGAAATATAATTTGTTTCATACATGTATGTTAGTTGTAAAATAAAAAAGTTTGTTTTGGGAGTTGGGTGGTCTAGTGGTTTAACGCATGGGTGTGAAATCACAAGGTCTGTCAATGAGTCAAGTGGCGTGGTTTCGATTCCTTGCTTGAATGTGACAAGAAGTACATGTAGGATCACCTGTACAGTCTCATGGGTTTCCTCCCACTGCTAAATACCCATGCATGCAAGCAAATTTTGAAATAAAATTGAACCATATGTTAGTCCCAAAATGATCTAGTTTGTATCGAGTGGATGTTAAACTCCATTCCACTCTTTCTCTCCCCTCTACAATATAACAAATCTTAGGATTTCCAAAACAAGAGAGAAAACTTACTCGCAAAACAGGATGCCATCTTCCAATGATTTTCTGGGATCATCTGGGAAGATAAACTTCTTTCTTGTAACAGCCTGAAAACAAAAGTAAAATATATATATCATTTATTGTGTGTTTCTACTGTGACAAACAATTTCATGTCATGTAGTGTGATCTAATCAAGGGAGACAACTACATTCTATGTTGTCATTAACAATCTTAATACTTGTTTTTATAATACAATGGGCGGAACATCTCATCAACACAATACTTTGATCATTCTGAGACTAACATGTGGTTACTTTTGTCCTATTGTCATGTGTGCAACACTAGAGAGGTGAATTTGGCCCAGACAGTGGCATTTATGCCTTCTCTTCCAAATGTCAAGAATTCTTTTACATGTACACTAATGTGTACACAGGTGAAATTATTTGTTGTCCAATCCGACTGACTAGGCAACCACTTTACTTGCTAGGACCACAAACTGCTACATGTACCCTTGACAAATGTGTATTTAGGGAACACTACATTTATATAGAATGTGTATATGGGTATTTCTATTTTTCCTAAGAGCTTGGTCTAATTCATATTCACACATTTCCATTTGCAGGATTCTGTATCAAATTGGAATTCTAATGTGATAAGACTGATGAAATTTGGTAAAAAAAAAAAGAAAGTGTTTTAGGCCGAGCATTCAAAGGTGGTGCGAGGGGAGGGGGGAGGCGGGGGTAAGATTCCTTTGACCAACCCTATCAAAATATTTTTATGTCAACCCCCCTTTAATATTTTTATTCCGATAAGTAGGACATATTGGGGGTCTTTGTTAGAAGAAATGTCATGGATTTAACATCAACAGGGACAGAATCAAAAGGGACAGAATTAATAGTCTGAACCCTGATTCTTTACAGAATTACTTCCCTTTAGTCTCCAAATCAAACTACATAACTACATGTACAAGTACAGGTATGACTTTTTTTGTTTATTTACATGTAATTAACGCCGACCCCCACCTCCTCCCCCATATAGTTTTCCACTAGGCTATCTCTGTTATAGTATCATACTCTTTAGACAGACAAAGAATGAATGATGTTATTATTAAACTGAGACATATTTGACCAATCTTGAGAAATAAAGTCCTGATTATCTCCCTTTAGTCTTCAGAATACAAACATGTTGGGGGATAAACTTTTAAATTGTTGATACAAACACAGTTAAATAGAGTTTTTCTTTAGTTTCTATTGTTATAATCCAGAAGCATAATTTAGTGGAAAAGTATGTCAGGAAAGAGTTTGAATGTAGTTTTTTTAATTCTGACTGCCCTGTACTTCTCAAAGGCTTACGTGACACTGAACATTTATCAACAAACAAGGACACATTTCTATGGAATACAATTATTGTTAAGTGCATTTTGACCAGATTTCTCTAGTCTTTATCAAGTAAAGTTTCAATACAATATCAAAGTAGCAGTTTGATTATTCTTAACCTCGAACTTTCCTTATTTAACAAAAAAAAAGGAATTGTGATGATCTTAAGCAATTGAACATAATATAACACAACATAGTTGTATAGATAGCAATGACTACAACTGTATATTACATACACACAATGTTTCGACAAGATTTTACTGGTCGTTTTCATTTGTATACTTGATAACGACAGGTGAAATCTTGTCAAAACGTTGTGTGTATATAATATAGTGATTGTTATCTATAGAACTGTGTTGTGTTAAGGTATTTTATTCAGCTCATCAGCCGATCAAATAAAACTTAATATACATGTTCACCATTTTTTTTATCAGTACTATTTTTTTTAAAATATAATATCGCTAGTTGAATTAATTACAAACAAGATGACTAGTCATCAACATCCTGCGCCCTTGCACTTGTTTGGAAGAAATAAGGAAAAATAACTTGTTTATGCTATTGGTAATCAATATAAAAATGTATCAGATTTCGCAAACAGTGTCACTGGTCCTAATATTGTGGCCCTGTTTAGTAGATATTGCTCTCTATTTCTGAAAACAAATGACTGATTGCTATTTACTAGAAGATTTGAGATAATTTATGACATTAAGCTCTGGTTTTAAAAATTAGACATGACTACATAGAAAATAGAGATATTTTGCAAGTGGAGGGAACTGGAGCTTTAGACAAATCTCATATTCCGACACATGGTATATCAATTCACAGAATTTCATACTCTGATCACAGTAGCTCAGCAAGGCAGGGTCGCTACTCCCTGTAAGGTTTGCACAACAACCTTTGCCTACCTCAATTAGCTGCTGTATGTTAAACAATAAACTTATACATCAGAAAATAAAATACTATAATAGGTTAATATTTGTACAAAGTTTCAAAAAGATTTCTTGAACAGATAATAAAATATGCTCCAGAAACAAAATCAGGACGGAAGGCTGGATTTCAGAAAATAAAATAATGGGTAAAATTATTTTAAAGGTATCTTGAACAGTCAAATGTGTTTCCATGGAAACACATAAAATTATGAAATCTGAGAAATTCAAAATAAGTGCCATGAAGATATCTTGAACGATTTATGAGATATGCTCCAGAAACAAAATTGTACACCAAAAACTAAGTAAAATTTGTTTCCATGGAAACACACAAAATATCAATCCCAGAAATTCCTAAACAGCAAAAGGCACAACTACTGTAATGGGTTGATGTGTGTGCAAAGTTTCAGAAAGATATCTTGAACGGTTTATGAGATATGCTCCGGAAAGAAAATTGTACACCAAAAACTAAGTCAAATTTGTTTCCATGGAAACACAAAAAATATAAATCCCAGAAATTCCTAAATAGCAAAAGGCACAACTACTGTAATAGGTTGATGTGTGTGCAAAGTTTCAGAAAGATATCTTGAATAGTTTATGACATATGCTTCGGAAACAAAATTGTACACCAAAAACTAAGTCATTTTTGTTTCCATGGAAACACAAAAAAATATAAATCCCAGAAATTCCTAAATAGTAAAAGGCACAACTACTGTAATAGGTTGATATGTGTGCAATGTTTCAGAAAGATATCTTGAACGGTTTATGAGATATGCTCCAGAAACGAAATCGGACGGACGGATGGACGAACCCCATTTCAATATCCCTCCCTAACTTCGTTCGGCGCGGGATAATAAACAATGGCTACAAGCCATCTCATAAGAGAGAAAGGGAAAAATGGGATTTAACGTCCACTCGACACAAACTAGGTCATTTCGGAACTAACATATGGTTTAATTTTATTTCAATAATTCGCTTGCGCGTAGGGGTCTTTAGCAGTGGGAGGAAACCAGAAGACCCGGAGAAAACCCACGAGGTTGGCAGGCGACCCTACTCCTTGTCACGTACAACCGGGGATTCGAAACCACGCCATTTGACTTAATGACAGGCCATCCAACCCCTCTGAAGAAAGAGAGAGAGAGAGGGGTTTAACGTCAACTTGACACAAACTAGGTCATTTTAGGACTATCATATGGTTCAATTTTATTTCAATAATTAACTTACACGTAGGGGTCTTTAACAGTGGGAGGAAACTGGAGGACCTGGAGAAAACCCACGAGGTTGGACAGACTACCCTACACCTTGTCACGTACAACCAGGGAATGGAAAACCCGCCAGTTGACTCAATGACAGACCTTACGATACAGCGCGCACATGCTAACCATTCGGCCATCCAAACCTCCCAATTGAGAAATAATTGTTAAATGTTTCTAAGTTCCTTTATCGGATTCTTTGATATAATTTATTTGATAGGTACACTGTAACCTATAACTGTGCTTAGACTAGAGTAATAGTTTAGTGGCGCATCTGGTTGATAATTAACTGTGTGTATATCTACTAGAATAAAAGTTGAGTAGTGTGTACCTGTATATAGATAATGTTGTCAGGTATAATATACAGGTAACATTAATATGTTACACCTAAAGGTGATAACAGAAAAGAGGTCAAATCACTTTACAAACTGATATCTGTATTAAATCAAATTAAATGGGGTTTAATGTCTTACTGTTCTGCTCCTATACTGGGCATATGTTGTGCAGTGTGCTATGATGGAAATTTTGCCAGGACAGCGGCACTATGACCTACTCTTACATGTATATCGAATTCCAACTGCCAAGGGATCTTTTACGTGCATGCCTATGTGTACACAGGAACTCGGTTTTTTGTATCATCCAAACAACTAGAAAGCTGTCCTTGTCAGGCCCTGCATCCTGCATCACTTAAAAAAGAGGAAACCACGTCAGAAAATCCAGATGAACTTCCTCAGCCAACCCCGGGAGCGAAACCGCAACCTTCAGAGTAGCCAGCAAGCATCTTACTCACTTAGGCACTGTGGCTCCCAATATCTATATCATGCATGGGAGTTGGGGTGGGTCATTGAATAAGGCGCTGGCTCTTTACCCCCATCCCATGGTTTTTTCCAGCATGGTTTCTCATTGTCAGAGTTGTAGGATGGAGAGCCTTGCAACGCAGAGTATCTGTTCGCTTGGATAGTAGGAAAAAAATACATGCATGTAAAAGAACCTAGGCAGAACTACCTTTATAACACACTAATAGTGTATGCCCATCAGCCCAGATGGACCAGTAAAGTGGGTAGTTAAAACCCCATTTCATTTCATTTCAGACCTTACTAAAATCTGTATACTTTATTAAACAGTCCTTACTCTCATGCCACAGCATTCAATAGGACACCACTTGGGACACCACTGCAGTAGGATCCCACTTGAACGGCATTACAGTACGTAGGATCCAACTAGGACAGTATGGCACTAGGATCCCACTGTACAATGTACATGTAGTAGAATCCCACTTGAAAAGCATTACAGTAGAATCCCACTTGAACAGTCCAATGTATGGCAGTTGAATCCCACTTGAAAAGCATTTCAATAGGATCCCACTTGAACAATATTACAGGAGGATAAGACTTGGACAGAATTGTGGTAGAATCCCCCTTCCCATGAGGTTGGACAGGTGACCCTACTCCTTATCACGTACATGTATAAGCAGGGATTGGAAACCCCACCACATGACTCGATGACAGACCTTATGATCTAACACACACATGTTAAACCATTCGGCCACCCA